CGACCAATCAAATGCCATATGACATATTGTATAACAAAATAGAACACAAACATAATCCAATATTACTTAAGGAAGCTCAGACCAAAATGCTTAAGATACATAACAAAGATAGAAGAGAAAAAGATTATAAAATAGGAGAAGTAGTCTATGAAAAGAAATTCGGGGAAAGAAATAAACTTCAATCCCGATACAAAAAGCAGGTAGTTAAGGAAAATCGACCGAATAAAATTATAATCAACAATAGAAACAGAATTATACATAAAGATAACATCAAATATTAAATATTTTTTCCAGAAAATGTATGCGAATATACTAATACTGACTTTTGTTATATTGACGACTGCGGAAGTAATTGACTATACGCATAGTGACTATCTATTGCTCAAAGACGACAGAGACGTTTACACTTATGAAACATACGCTGAACTTTTCCATATTACTAATTTGAGTTTTTATAGAGAGATAATTGATAAAGAATCCAAATATGTCAACAAATCAATTAATTCAGACGATGAGTGGGAAATATCAATGGACTTAAGTCTATTAAAATTAATGATTTCAGAATTAGTTCCAAAACGGAAAGAAAGGGGAATAAATGAATTAGGTACCATTTGGAAATGGATAGCAGGCAGCCCTGATCATGACGACTTTTTGAAAATACAAAATAAAGTAAATGAATTAACTGAAAATAATAATAAACAATTTGTAATAAATTCCAAATTTTTCAAAGAAATTGAATTGCTATCAAATTCATTAAAGAATGTCATCTTCAATGAAGAAACGATACTGAGAAAGCATCGTTTAAAATTAATAACTTTTGACCTACTAAATTTAGTTGATACCATAACCCTCTTAAAAGTAAACATTTTCAATACAAAAATTTTAAATAAAAACGAAATAGAGGACATTTATAAGCATGAAAAACATAATGTTGAACTGTCTGATCTGTTGGACATTGCAACGGTTAAAATAATTCGAAATGCAGATTTAATAATCATTTACATAAAATATCCTCAAATTAAAGATATTTGCAAGTTTTACCATGCAAGAGCCATCTCACAAAATGATGGAATGTTAGTTATAAGTGAAAAAGTTTGTGAATGTAAGGAGAAATACTATTTAATGAATAATTTTAAAAGTGAAACTTTTAACAATTACGCACAAATAAATTTAAAGAGTACCTGTTTCACCAATTTACTTAATGGCTTTAAAGCCAACTGCACTAAAAAAAGGGAAAAAAAACAAAGAAATAGACATCATTCAGGATGGTGCCATATTAGTTTCAGGCAAAAATATCGTAGACAATACTACTTTGTTAGGATCGTATCTCCTTATATTCAACAACACAATTGTAATAAATAATATAAGCCACATAAATGATAAGGGTAAAATTCTAAAATATATATCGCATCATAGATATAGCGATTTTGAATTAGTTGATTATATACAATCAAATGATAAGCAATTTTCTTTTGATAATGTTAATATTTTAAATCCCCTTATAACATTAGGTAATACGGCCTTACCATTAACAACATTATTTTTAATCATTTTGATATTGTTAATGTTATTTTACTTCTGCTATAAATTAACCAAATTTGTACTTATTAAATCAATAAGAATACCGTCAGAAGAAATAGTGGAAAGCAACATTCAAATACTGTCAGAAGAAATTAGAGCTCTATCAGAACTTCAAAATGTATCGGGACGAAACATTTAAGAATGGGGGGAGTTAACGTACCCAATTCCATTGAGCTCTTATACGAGTTGTAAACAATCTTTGGTTTTCCAAAACGAAAACAATTTCAATCTTGGGCCTCCGCCTAATTGATTTCTAAGATGTACAATCTCAAGCGCCCCCGCCGCAATCCCATTCTTTGACACTCGCCTAAATGGAAAACCAATGTTTGCCCACACCCGGCTTCTCATAAACAATCTCACTCCCGGCTTTCTGCAGATCCTGCACTTTAGGCCTTTTACAGTTCTCTCTTTGGATGACGAAATCTAATACTCGGGATGGCGAAATCAATTGAAATGTTTATAGAAAAACGATTCCCGAAAGGGATCAACGATGCAAAGATCAGAAAGTTCAAATCAGTCTTGATCCAGCAGCGACACCGCAAAGTCTAGCTAAATATTAAGATCGCGCAATCCCTTGGCCCGGAATTCCTTTGTGACCCTCTACTTAAATCTATATCAGTGAAGTTCGAAGTAAAATAAAAACTTTTTAAAAACACAATCCGCTACCGCAGTTGTTTAATTTACACACGCAATAACCATTCCGTCGTCTCAAAATGGTCAAAGCAGGCCATTTGACGCGCGCATTCGCAAACGCGTAGATTGTGTGCCGTTTATTGTTGTCTCATTCATTCTGGTTTTATTTGTTCATCGTTGCCTGACATTGATCATGCCTTTGCTTTCGGTGTCTCTCTTTCGCTCTGTGTGTGTGTGTGTGTGTGTCTGTGTGCGTGCCTTCGAATTAGTGAAAACTATAAATGAAGCCCGCGCGAAACTGTTAATTGAAAAGCACATGCAAATTACATTTCTTGCAGAACTCAATTTTCGTTTCGCTCTCTTCGTAACGGTTTGGCGCGCGACCAGCCAGACGCCGCTGCTGCTGCAGTTGTTGCTGTTGCTGTGTGAGGCGCGGGGCCTGCGCTTGTTTCGCGATTCACTGTGCGCAAGCAACTGAAATCCGAAATTCGAATTCCGAAATGTGCTCACAGGTCAAGAGGAGAGGCTTTGGGGCCGCTGCAGCTAATAATCTACGCAGCTCGGTCGGCCGCAAAGCTCGGCTCAAGCACACCTCGAATTTTGGCTGCACTGGAAAAAACGGTGCCTATATACCATTTTCAAAGTGCTATACTAATCCTTTGCAGCTTTGGAAAGCTACCCATAATACCGGTGAAGGATTTATACACCAATTCCTTCACGCGGAAGGCTAGGTGTCAAGCCCAGATCTAGCTGGGGCTACGCTGATATTTGTAAACAACAGAAAGCTGAATTTTCTGGGACTGCAGAGAGATAATGATTTTGAGTATAGAGAACCGTCCGCACGTCCCTAATTTTGTTTTTAGCTATCCCCTCTGACTAGTCCTTGTGCCCTCTTACAATAATTGCTAGGTGTGCAAGACCACCAATAACATCCCTTCTCCGGCCTGGGGTTTCCCGAAATGTTATCCGATGGTCAATAATTAATTTTCTAACAAAAATACACACTTAATTGAAATCGCACCCTTTTCAACGGTCATTTACCAAGCAAAGCTGAAAATTATAAAAACGCTTTAAAATATATGGCAATGCAAAAACTACTTACATATTGATTTCCTATCATATCCGTATCTTAACCAATGATCGCTCATGTCCAGTTAATTGTCTAATTTGAAACGACGTTCTGGTTTCTGAAGGGACTAGAGGTCGGGAAAAGGTTTCGCTTTATATTATATGTGAATCAAGATTGTTTAAATAAAGTGTTTACCTATAAATAAAGATAAAGCGAAGAACTTGTAAGAATAACAACGGGGAAATTCCATTTTGATATCATTTTTATATTGGCTCGAAATCAAATAACTCCCTGTAACTATCGATCCGAAAGTTAAATATAAGCTTCAACCAAAGTAAGCAAGCTGTGGTTTAATATTGTGTATATCCTCATGGTTCAGGGGAATACGATCAAAGGAATGATCTAAAAGTGATCTGTGGTCCATCATTTCAGGCATTCCGAACACATTTCTACCATGGTAAATAAGGCCATGGGCGTGCTTGTGTTTATAAAGAGGTGGTCAAAGGAATTTGACGACCCCTATATAACAAAGACTCTCTATACCTCGCTTGTTCGTCCGATCTTAGAATACGGCTCCTGTGTATGGTGCCCTCAGTACAAAGTACACCAGGATCGTATAGAATCACTTTTTACTCTGTGCTCTGCGGGGCCTTAACTGGCCTTAAGACTCTCATCTTACTCTAGTAGATAACTATTAGTAAACCTCCCATCCTTAGTTAACCGTAGAAAAATGCTTGGTGTGATATTTATGCACAACTTGATCAGGGTTGACATAGACAGCCCTGATCTGTTGAGCCGCATAAACTTCACGATTCCTATTAGACTGACTAGAAATTTTATACCGTTGTTCCTTCCACTTTGTAGATCGAATTATTCCTTGCATGAACCGTTTAGGGTCTTATGCTCGGATTATAATTCCCTCTACCATAATACATCCACCACTAATTCTCTTCCTCTTATTAAATTACTAATCCTTACACACCTTTCTATTAATTAGTAATTGTAGTGGTATTTGTATTTTGATTGCATTCTTAGTTTCTTAGTAAGTTTAGTGCTAATTTTCCTCGAATGTTAGTCTAATAGCTATCTTTCTTGCATGTTCGCGTTCGGTTCGGCTACGCACCGTGCGTCATGCGGCAGCGCCCCTCGGTCGGTTGGGCGTGAGCAGGGCTGTGTTTTGCCTGGGATCCGCGCGTAACAGCCTTCTGCTGGTTTCACACGGCCCACTTGACGGTGCAGTATCGCCTCTTGAAAGATGCATTCATTGCATGTCAACGTCCAACGTATTCCTATGTCCAGGACTTGCCTAGCGTATCTATTCGAAATGACAACTGGCTTAAAACAAAAATGTTCTTCTTTATTAGCATAAAACACAACTTGGAAACTATTTATCATTAAGGGTGTAGTCACAAATCAGTTAATATATGTATATATATATATATAATAAATATTTATATATATATATATATAGCCATGCTGGTGTTTGTCTGTATGTGTATGTGTGTATCTGTGTATCTGTGTCGAGGCCTGTTTTAACCTGAGTACGAAGCCCACCAGTCCGCCGGGGCTATCCGAAAATGAGTTCAACTGGTCTTTACATAACAAAAATAATTGTGTAGTGTAGTAGTTCTGTGGAAACAAATTGAATTAGAGTAAACAACAGCTGAAGAAGGACGAGGTGGTTGAGAGAGGGCTGTGTATCGCGCCGGTGTGCTGATCACCGGCGACGACGCTCTCGCTCTCGATCCCGCTCCCGATCATCGGGGTGATCGTTGTGCCGGCTCTTGCTACTTCGCTCCGAACCGAAGCCACCTCTTCCGGATCCCCCGCTGTCTGCGCCACCGTCACCAGCATCCCGTTTGCGGTCGTGACGCTCCGAGCGTTGGCGGTTGCGGCTGGGGCTTCTGCTTCGGCTGCGCGAGTAGTGTCTGTGCTTGTGCTTCTTCTTGTGCTTGCTGCGTTGGCGGTCGTGATCCTTCAGCCGGTCACGGTCATGGTCACGGTCCTTTACCCGGTCACGGTCCCGATCCCGGTCCCCAGACGAGTGGTAGGGTATAGGTGCCGATGGCGGCGCCGGTGGGTAATCTTCATATCCTCGACCTCGTGCATACGAGGAGCTCGATGAGGTGGCATAGTAGTCGCGATCATCGTGATCATTGCGATAGTTTATCGGTGGATATCCTCCGACTCCATGGCGAGAGCCGAAGCCGCCCATAGCTTGTCCACCACCACGACCGCCGCCGCCACCTCCGCCTCCGCGGTCTCCCCCAACGTGGCCGTGACCACCGCCATTACCGCTCTCATGGTATTCCTGGTAATCGTCATCGGGGCCAACAGTAGCAGCGGTTGCAGCCGCAGCTCCAGCCCCACCACCCGGTGGACCTGTGACCGGTCGTCCCGAGCTCAGCTGATTGAGGGTGATGCCCTGCTCGCGGCAGTAATCTCCTATTTTGCGCTCGATCTGCTTCTGTATGGGCACGGGTATGCGCGGAAATAGCGTAGAGAACCAGTCCAGCTTGGTCATAAACTGGTAAACCATCTGGCCAATAGTCATAACCTGCAGATGGAGGCGATAAGGGATCGTATAAAGAGGAATTCGTTGGCTGGACAGCAGTGGGTAACATGTGATTGGTGGCTCATACAGTTGACTCACCTGGCCGCCGCCTGCCTTCACGTCAATCTCCTCCTCGTCCTGAAGATAGTCCTCGTACCAGTCATACAGGTCCCCGGGCGGCTGTGTGTAGCGCAAGTACATGAACCCTTAAATGGAGAGGAAATTGTCATTAGATCACATTTCATTGGCATCATCATTTAAGGGGGTGGGGGTGGGGCCTGGGTTTGGATGAGGGGAAGGGAGGGTTCTGTTTTTGCTAAACAGGAGCAGGAGCAAGCGACGGCATGTGGCGGCTGAACTCATGCGACTTACCAACACCTACCTAGTGCCCGTATGTAGGCCGAGTCTGTGTGATTGAGCAGTCCGTTGATCTGCTTGCGGGTCAGACGCAGGGTGTACAGCTTGTAGAGCAGACAGTACGCAGTGGACACAATCCCGCCCGCTCCAACGCCTCGCACCTGGAAGGGGGAATAGAAACAGAGAATGAGTCATCATTGCGCCAGAAGAGCAAACGAGGAGCATCGCCAACGATTAGCGCTACATTTCATAAACAACTCACACCGCCGCACATGCCGGTCTGGCCGGAGGTCTTGCGGGATCCGCGCTCCCATGGCTCCATGTGCTTCACCTGGTAGTAGATCTCGTCAACGACCTCGTGGTAGGTTTTCAGTTTAAACAAGTGCACTGTAAAGGGAACCGGGAAACGCCGATCAAATATATGTATGTACATAGCTTAGTTCGCAGTGGGACTCCTCCCGGACACGCACCTTTGAAGTAGCTGGAACTTTGGATGTTGGCGAGGATCAGTGGATTCAGGTTCATTGAAGTCTCGTTTCCCCAGAAAGGTAGGGTGTTGTGCTGCTTGCCGGCCTTCTTTCCGCCAACGCCTGCACCGCCGCCACCGGCCGAAGATGACGCCGAATACTCTGCCAGCGTTAAAGGGAGTCAGAGAGAGACGCGACCGTCAATTAGCGGTTGATGCGGCTACGGGAGCCAGCTCAGGGCCAGCACGAAAACTTACCTTCGTCCATTCCTGCTGCCGAACCGCACTTTAAAACATCAATTCCGCAATTTTAATGCAGTTTGTGCGCGCAAAATGGCCAAGAACCAGATTTGCAAACGTTTGCGAGCGTGAGAAAATGCCTGAATTGGCGATATGTATGCGTTGCCTATCGCCGTATGGCCGGGGCTTATCGATATAAATGGCGCGCATATATCGTTGCCGTCCAGATAGTTTTCGAGAATAATCTGGTGTTTGCAGAGGAAAAATACATGAAATAAAATTAAATAAAATTGAAGCACACAAATATACTATTACCATTGAAACATTATATTTGATTTCTAATTAACACAACAAAAAAATAAAAATTAGCGATGTTAGCGATGAATCGTGCGGCATCAAGCCACTAACCATGCAGTATAAAGATGTGCCACTTCATACACCGAAACATATCGCAGAGCGAATCATCAGTATAAGATCACAGGGTCTTCGTCTCTGGCGTTCGGCCAGCGCATAATCAAATTATGGTCCGCAACCCCAACGCGCCCTCTTTTCGGGTCTGTTGAGTTTTCATATTTCATCGAAGAATAAAAAAAAAAACATCTTCCATATATCTACATATATCTGTCTCCCCTCTTACATCAAACATGGCGTTAAAGCGTCTCTGTTGTGATGAGCGTAAAATAAGACCGATAAGAGAGTTTGCGGAATACCTGGTGTAATATCATCATGATATGTCCATTCAAAGAACACTTGCAGGCTATTGTATGTGTGTGTACATGTTTATTTTCATTGCATTTGTATCAGAAAAAAATGATTTCAAATATGATGCGCAAGTATGACAAAGCTGGGCTGGCTGGATCATGATGAAGACCCTGGGATCTAATTCTGAAGGTTCGCTCTGCGATATGTTTGTTGTATGGCACATCTGTACACTGCTACCTGCCGATAGAAGCGGCAATCGGTGTATCGGCGGCTTGCCACCATCTCTAGCTCCTGTAGTAATTATCCTTTTGAGCCCAGCGAAAACCCTCAAGTTCAGTCAGCTTCAGCCAGCAAGTCCTGTGTCCTTAGTTAGGGCCCAGCCGTTTAACATCTTTTGGAGGACACAACCTTGGTTAAAGCATCGGTAAGGGCCGGCCAGACCAGTCAAAGGCCCCAAACAAGTCCAGGACTCTGTAAGCTAAGCTGCGCGAAGGTACCCTGTCCGTCCCACAAGTAAAATACGGTGGAACGGGGACCGGGGACCGGGAACGGCGACCTTCATATTAAATAATACATGTACATACCTTAGCGTGCGTACGGGGCCAGTGTGCGTGCGTTTGTGTGTGTCCGCGCGGTCGTGTGTGGGTGCATTAGAAGACCAAAAAGATATCAAATAAAATAATTAAAGAAACACGCACAAAATAATACGCATTGCAGGTGGCGTAAAAGTTTTTTTTGCTGCAAGGCTAAACCGAAACCAACAAAAAAAAGGGCATCGCAAAAAGGCTAAAATGCAGCAACCGCTCCCCTGTCCTGCTGCATGCGGACGTGGGTGGCACAGCAGCCCACTCTAAACGCAAGCGCAGACCAGCCGCCGAGCAAAAATAGCAAACATCCCACAGTCACGGCCACGGCCAATGCGAAGGTGAAGCCAACAACACCATCACGAACAGCGACACCGACACCGACACCAACCCGACCAGAAGGACAACGGAGCATTGGAGAGCGGAAGGACAGGGACAGCGGTTCAGGGTCATGGTCAAGCAGCTGTAGAGCCAGAGATTGGGACCATGTCGAGCGAATCGTCAACGGAGAGCGACAGCGAACTGTACGACCCGCTGGCCGAGGAGCTGCATAATGTGCAGCTGGTCAAGCATGTCACCAGGGAGAACATCGATGCCCTGAACGCCAAGTTTGCCAATCTCCAAGAGCCGCCGGCCATGTACTTAACAGGTGAGTGGCCAGGGCAGAGCAGGGCAGGACAGGGCAGCCCTTTCATGTACAAATTCTGTATTAATTATGTATGTTTTTCGGATTGCAGAATACCAGGAGCTCACATCGAAGCTGCATGAGCTGGAGGCCAAAGAGCACGAGCTGATGGAGCAGCTTAATGCGTTGCAGCAGGAAGACGATGGCAGCCAGAGTGCCGCGGACATACAGCAGCAGCGCAGCGCCGCGGATAGGGATCAGCCGCACTACCAGAACCAGACGCAGATCCTACAGCAGCAGCGGCAGCTGGCGCGGGGGCCCCTGGCCTACCATGGCAGCGACCTGACCGACAGCCTGATGTCGAACCCCGGCTCCGGTAGTACCAGCCAGTGCGGCACGCTTACCCGCCAGCCCAAGATCCTGCTGCGGGCCCATCTGCCCAACCAACAGCGCACCTCGGTCGAGGTGGTCGCCGGCGTGCGACTCTGCGATGCTCTGATGAAGGCACTCAAGCTGCGCCAGCTGACGCCGGACATGTGCGAGGTGAGCACATCGCATAGCGGGCGACATATCATACCGTGGAACACGGACATTGGCACGCTGCATGTGGAGGAGATATTTGTGCGACTGCTGGACAAGTTCCCCATTCGGACTCACACGCAGCATCAGATCATACGCAAGACATTCTTCTCGCTGGTCTTCTGCGAGGGATGCCGGCGGCTACTCTTCACCGGGTTCTACTGCAGTCAGTGCAATTTCCGCTTCCATCAGCGGTGCGCGTCCTTAGTGCCGATGCTGTGCCAGCCCTTTCCCATGGATAGCTATTACCAGCTACTGCTGGCCGAGAATCCGGACAACGCCCTCGGGTTTACCGGACGCGGCACGGCCGTCCGATTCAACGTGAGTAGCCGCAGCCATAGCCGGCGATGCAGCAGCAGCGGGAGCAGCAGCAGCTCTAAACCTTCTGCAAACCATCGACAGGGCCGGCCGCCTCGCATTAGCCAGGACGACCGCTCCAATTCCGCTCCCAATGTGTGCATCAACAACATCCGATCGGTGACCACTGAGGTTCAGCGCAGCCTCATCATGCACGCAAGGCCACCATTGCCGGTAGGTGCCCTCCCACTTTTTGCCTTTCGGAAACGCCTCTTTAAAACGTATCTCTGTCTGCTTTTGTTTCTGCTTATCCAGCATCCCTGCACGGATCACTCGAACTCAACCCAGGCCTCGCCTACGAGCACTCTCAAGCATAATCGACCCCGTGCCCGATCCGCCGACGAGAGCAACAAGAACCTGCTGTCACGTGAGGACAAGAGCTCCGAGGAGAATTGGGTATGGCAAAGCCGGAAGCGAAATAATGTTTAATGTCAATGGAATTTCAATTTCCTCCATCAATCACTTGCAGAACATCAAAGCGGAGGAGATTCTAATTGGTCCGCGCATTGGTTCCGGCTCCTTTGGTACCGTTTATCGGGCCCATTGGCATGGACCTGTGGCGGTGAAGACCCTTAACGTTAAGACGCCCAGTCCCACCCAGCTGCAGGCCTTCAAGAACGAGGTTGCCATGCTGAAGAAGACGCGCCACTGCAACATTCTGCTCTTCATGGGATGCGTCTCGAAGCCATCGCTGGCGATTGTCACCCAATGGTGCGAGGGCAGCAGCCTCTATAAGCATGTCCACGTCAGCGAGACGAAGTTTAAGCTGAACACGCTCATCGACATTGGCCGGCAAGTGGCCCAGGGCATGGACTATCTCCATGCCAAGAACATTATACACAGGTGAGGGGAAAACTAGTCGAAAATAATGGACACTCGTGATGATGGATGATGGGATTAATCGACTTTCTTTTGACTGCCTGCAGAGACCTGAAATCGAACAACATTTTCCTCCACGAGGATCTGTCGGTGAAGATTGGCGATTTCGGGCTGGCTACAGCGAAGACCAGATGGTCGGGCGAGAAGCAGGCCAACCAGCCGACGGGCAGTATTCTTTGGATGGCACCGGAGGTGATACGGATGCAGGAGCTGAATCCCTACTCCTTCCAGTCGGACGTGTACGCCTTCGGCATTGTGATGTACGAGCTGCTGGCCGAGTGCCTGCCCTACGGTCACATCAGCAACAAGGATCAGATCCTGTTTATGGTGGGACGCGGCCTGCTGCGACCAGAAATGAGCCAGGTGCGCTCCGATGCCCCACAGGCATTGAAACGCCTGGCCGAGGACTGTATCAAGTACACGCCTAAGGACAGACCGCTCTTCCGCCCGCTGCTCAACATGCTCGAGAATATGTTGCGCACGCTGCCCAAAATCCATCGCAGTGCCAGCGAGCCCAATTTGACGCAGTCCCAGCTGCAGAACGACGACTTCCTCTATCTGCCCAGCCCCAAGACGCCGGTGAACTTTAACAATTTCCAGTTCTTTGGCAGTGCCGGCAACATCTAATTTGGTTGCGGAGCGGAGCGGAACGAGGCGTGGCGTGGCTGCTGTACCTGTACTTACAAAACTTACAAAAATCTTTAACTGTTTGTTGAACTGTTTTTCTCATGGTTTTTTTCCTGTACATAACTCGTCCTGTGTGAGCGAGAGACGAAAAGCGAGCGAATCAGAGGGAGACGGAGACAGAGGACGGACGCAGACATTCAATCAGAAGGGGACAGGATACGAGTAACGTAACGAAGGAGAGTGTCTCTCTCGCACATGATGACAAATGGACGGACCAACAAAAATACCAATACCTCTGTGCTGCTTCTGCTTATTCTTCCATAAACCCCCAATCCCCAACTCCCCCCGAACAAAAACTGATAAACGTGCATTTCTGTTACTGTTAACTGCAACGCCCATGTGTACATACCTTGCAACATAATTTATTAATGTTAAGCCCCCCACAAACTAAACTAAACTAAACTAAAACTATGTAAACTAGCTGATCCACTAGCGATTACATTAAACACATAATACATACAATACTACAACAAATTGCTTGTCTTTCATGTAATTCTCCGCGTACCGGCAGTCGGAATTGATTGGAAAGGAAGACGTACTGTTGCTGTGTCTACACATCAGGCACATCAAAGGCATTGGATTCCTCCCTAGCAACAGGCAACGAAACACACGCACTTTCAATATAACAAAGCTGTTTATTCTTTACACAGTCAGGGGGGAGGGAAGGAAGTACAACAATAATGACTAAACATAGCGACTGGCGATGGCTAGAACCTTGGTGTAGTCGGCACCCTTGGCCAGCGTCTTCTCCTTGAGTATCGTCCGCAGGACGGTGGGTATCGGGACATGGATGCGTGTGCCCAGCGGCGAACCATTGTCGTCGATCAAAACCAGGTTATTGCTATCGAATTTGGGCTGCTTGGGCTTCTGGTTCTGCTTCAGGCCGACGAGGATGCCCTTCTTCATCTGGCCCTTGATGGCCACCAGCACTTTGTCCCCAATGTAACCGACGCCGCGCTTATTGTACACATGGATGCAGCGCGGCGGCCGGCCCTCGGCCATGGCTCGCTTGCCGAGATCACTGTTATCCACCACACGGAGGCGGGCCAGTTTCCGTATCTCACAGCACGCCGGCGTTGTGTGAAGCGATTGTTGCTGGCGGCAGGTGACGGCCCTGGCACTGGCCGTGATTGTCGCCACTGGCAGCGTGGTGGTCAGACGCCTCAGGATTTGTAGTGCCATTCTGGTGTTGCTCTTCGCAGCTTTTCTTGTTTTTAATTCATAAATCCGAGATATATTATACAATCTTATCGATAAAATATATCGTCCGACCCTCAGAAATATACCAAATATACTGCCTCAATTTAAAAATATACCGTAAATATTCTGAAGAATTCAAGTTCTATTTTACATATTCCTCGTTTTTGATCTTCTATCAAATATTACCAGCTGTATAGAACATTTAGCCATGCCCACATAATTTTATCCGATAAATGAATTAATGTTCTACCTGCCTGGCTTATTTTAACCACTTCTTTTATTTGATCTTGTCTAAAAAAAGGTTTTGGCAAAATAGGTCAAACAAAAAAAGGGTTTAGCGAAATAGGTCACGCATAAAAGGAAACCCTTAGTTCTGACCACATAATTTTAGGCCGTTGATAAATACATTTTCTTCAAGATTGGCTAGTTTTTAGTCCTTGCTTATATTTTGGCTAAAATATGGCTGAAACAAAATAGTTCAACAAAAATAATATGATTTTATTTTAATGGGGTCGGAATCGCTTGCTCTCCCACCACAAATATGATATACCCCATAATCTTCGTGTACCGGGTATAAAAACCATAGAAATGAAGCGGGCCAACAGCATATACATATGTATATAGCGTTATGACACTAGACTTTGCCAACTGACTAACTGCAGAAACTAGGCTTACGGGATAAGCATGCAATGAGATCTAGAATAATATGTGCGTTCAGTTAGCATCCCACAAAACAAAACACATGTTCAACCGCTGAAGTTTATGGCTATAAAAGTCTATCATGCTATTTTGCTCTTTGCAAAAAATGTAACATAGTCATAACGTCATAACGCTAGTAACAGCAGACTCTGCGCTTAACAGCACACTCTCTAGTTAACAGCACGCTCTCAATTCAACAGCGACCATTTTGGCGGCATGGTGGCTTTTAACAGTTTTACTTGAATATGAAAACGCATGTTTTATAAATGTTTTTTTTTTAGTTATATTTATTCACTTTAATACAATGCCATATATATATATACAAGCGTGCCAAATGCAACTTCTGCAGCGGCTATATGTGTGCTTATCTATAATTCTTTAATAGCATTATTAACACTGCTGTTACGGATGCTCGCTCCTCGTTTTTGTGCTATTAGTTTTGGGTTTTCTTGTTTGTTTGTTTCGACACGACTAAGTAGACAGACCAGTCCCATTGGTTAGAAAATTGGTTACTATAATTCACTATGACATACAAAATAATATATATTTAGGCATAATAACATATTTATATACTTTTCCTTTGCTTTCGTTTCGTTCCCTCTCGCTCTTTTACTTCTTCAGTTTCATCGATTGTTTTTTTTTTGGGTTTTTGTGACCTAATGGCTAAAACAAAGTGTTTAAAAAAAAAACTACATAGTTCATAACAAAAACTAAGATTAGTTAAAAAAAATGAATGTGCTTCGGTACACAAAAAATACGGTTAAAAAAAAACACATTCTCTACTTCAGCTTCATCTTCAGATATACAACATCCGTATTCGTTTTCGCATTTCGATCCGATCGGATCCGATCCGATTCGAGTTTTCGGATTATTTACATTGGAAAAATTAAAGAATTAAAGAAATAAACAGTAAATTTTGAGGCTAATTTACGGCTAATGCTAATCGATATAAAAACAATACAATTTGTGCTCTTCCTCTTTTGTGAGTCCGCCCGCTCAGGATCGGTTGAGCTCGTCTCGCTTGAAATTTCGTATCGCGTCTAGCAGCTGGGAGCGCGGGTCCTCAGAGGCTTGACTGCGTCCCGCTCCTGTCGCTGGACCTGCCTTCAGGGGCTTCAGCGATACTCCCATTTGCGGTGGAGGCGGTGGCGGCTGCGTCGCTGTCCTCGTGGCAGCCGCTGGCCCGCTTGTGGATCGCAGCTTCACCTGGAACTTGGCTGTCTGTGGCTGTGCCTCAGGCTTTTGGAGCTTCAGCTCCACCATGCTGGTCACTTGGTTGGACTTGGACGGCGGAGCAGGCTTCGGTGCTGGGACTGGCGCTGCGGTGACAGTTTGAGATGCAACTGCAACCTTTGCCGGCACTTCGACTGCAGTGGTAGCTGGAACTGGAACTGAAGCTGAAGCTTGAGCAGGAGCTGGAGCTGAAGCTGGGATGGGAGCTGCAATTGAGGCTGTAGTTGGACTTGAAGACCTGCCATTGACCGAGACACGAGCACTCAGGGCCTGCTCCTGCTCCTGCTGCTCCCTGGCCAGCATGCGCTCCTTGAAACCCGTCCGCCGCAGGGTGTTCTGTCCGAATGGCGCTGGAGAGGGATCAACTGGGGCCTTGCTTCTCTCCAGGGTGGAAACCGGCCGTGGCAGTGAGTTGATGGTTGCCTGAGTGTAGGCGTCACCAGCACCACCCGCGGGCAGGGTGAAACGATGGCTCTTTGCGGGTCTGGGCAATGTCGAGGATTGGACTTGGCCTGGGGACGTGGTGGTGTCTGCAGAGGCGGCCATTGCTTGCGGCTGAGATGCGGATGCGGGAACTGCGACTGGAGCAGGGACGGGTGTTGGTTTTGGTGTTGGTGTGGGTGCTGTTGCCGGTACTGTTTGGGATGCGGATGTGACATCTCGCAGAGGCTTGACTGTTATGGGTACATGGCACTCCTTGCGCTGCGGTATCCCCATCCTAAGTATGGGCGAGGCCACCTCGATGGTTAGTTTAACTGGAGACGGAGCGGGGGTGGCGCCGGCTCCCCCGAATATGTAGTCGCCCTCGTTCTTGATGGCCACTTGTGACTTGGGTCGTTCGCTCCATGCCCCAAAATTAATGTTCGGGGGCCCGGAGTAGCGATATTGGGGCGGTAGGGGTTTCGCAGCTGGCGGGGCTGCCGTCATTACAGGGGATATGACTGTCTGTTCTGGTTCTGGTGCTGGTGCTGGTCGCAGGACGACAGGGCTGACTGGAGAGGCACTTGGAGTGGGTATGGGTGATGTCCGCTCCTTAATTGGTTCAGTCGGAGATGCCACGGTGACTGGTGGTGACTGTTCCTTGGCTGGGCTGGCTCTCAACGAAGCTGGAGACGGCTGTTCCCAGACTGCAGAAGGACTCTGTTCATTCACGGCTTTGGTAGCAGAAGCAACTGCTTCCTGGACTGTCCTGGCTGCAGGGGGAACCTCCTGTTGCTGCTCTTTCACGGCCTTAGCTGGAGGGGGAGACTGTTCCTTGAGAGCCTTGACTGGAGTAGGGGATGGCTCTGGTGATTTTGCTCCAGCTGCTGCCATTGTTCCTCTGGCAGATCCTTGTTCTTTGGCCTGTCCAGATGCCGAGGGCTGGCGCTCCAGCCTGGCGACTGCTGTGGGGCTGCTCTTTGGTTGATCTAACAGCAGGGCCGCCTGCTCCACCACTTTGGAGGGGGATGTGGCTGCGGACGCTGATGCACTCCCACCGCCGCTGCTCTCGGTCAGGCTATTCTTGCGGGAGTTCAGGATGGTCTTGATCACCTCGAAGCTCTGCAGCGAGGGCGTCTCCCCGATGCTCAGTTCACTGGAGGAGCGTCTTGGACCGGCCTCGTTTCCCAGTCCATTCTGATCGATTTTATTGAGAGATATGTGGGAAGAGCTGCGCTGGCTTAGGGATCTGGATGCCCTCTCCTGGGCTGCTGCCGCCTGGAAGGAGTCAGAGCGACTGACCTTCGTGGAAGTCGTGCTGGACGTGATCGCTGTGGACTTGGCCGTGGCAATGCTGAAGTTGGCCAGACGGTTCGGCTTTGCTGCCTCGATCTCCGCCTGTTCGGGCTGCTTGCGGATGAGCGTGTCGAGGCGTTGCTGCTGGATGATGGCCGACAGCTCGTCAACGATTTCGTCCAGCGGCGAGCCGGGACTGGGGTTGGGGCTTGTGGCTACGCTTTTGGTCACTCCGCGGGCATGCGGATCGGAGAAATCCGGCGGCGGGGAAATGGGCACCGAGTAGTTCCACGAGGAGAGCGATGTCTGTTCGCTGGCGCTAGTCGGTGTGGCCAGAGTGGAGGTCGCCTGCTGCTCCTCCTCCTCCTCGTCCTCTTGGGCGGCGGCTGTCAGAACCGCCAGCTCGGCGAAACTGTTGGCCAGTGGCTGCTCTCCCTTGACGGATGTCTGGCAGAGCTTGAAGTTGTACACCTTGATGGCCTCGTCGTCCTCCGAGCTGGACTCTATGTTGGACTTTTCGGGCTCCTCGGTCTCGGGCTCAGGCGACGGTGAGGGTGCGGGCTCTCCGATGCCCGAGTCTGCCTGCTTGGAGCCCGCATCGTTGTCGTCCTCCTCTGTGGCACTGCCCAGGGAGCGGGGCTCCGGTGTGGGCGTCCGGTTCAGCAGCACCTTGGACACGTTCTGGGACACATTTGTGGGAGCAGCGGCTTCAATAGTTGGTGGGGTGCTGCTCGGTAGAGCGGGAGTTGGTGTGGTAGGAGAAATGGGTGTGGGTGTGGGTGCGGCAGTGGGCAACGGGGTGCTGATCCGCGGTGCTGGCTGCGGTGTGGTGGGCGTCAGCGTCTCCGACAGCGAGTTCGTGGTGGAGGCCAGCGATATGGTATCCACTCCAGAAGCGTTTCCATTGCCGTTTGCAGCCAGTGCACCCGCGAAGCCAGGGGGCGGGGCCGGTGCCGCTTTCTTCTTGATCTGCAACAGCCGTTTGCGGGGCGTCGGCTCCGGTCCCTGGCCCTGTCCTAAGCCCGAAAGTGTGCTAGTCACCGAACCCCGTGTCGGACCCGCGGCTCGCTTCAGGTCGAGCGTGGCGTAGTGCCCGTCGGCATCCACGGCGTCCGCTGCATCCGCCGGGGATGCCTTGGCGCTGTTCCCATTGCAGTCCAGCAGCTCCGGGGGCTGGCTGGACAGATTCGGCGTGGACATGCACAGCTGTGGACGCTTCACGATCACCGCGTACGCGGGCTCTGCCGTGCTCTTTGGGGCGCTTGCCGGCTCCGACTCCGGCACAGACTGCTCCGGGATGCAGTGCTGGCTGGGCGGGCGTGGGGCCACACGCTTCTTGCGCGGCGGCGGCGCCATGACTTTGGCTGGCGGGGCGGGCACAAAGACGGGCGTGCGCGTGTAGTTCATGCCGGTGGAGTCCATGGAGTTGAGGGAATTGGTGGAACTGTATGGACTGGGCGTCTTGGCGGTGACCTTCGAGTGGCGGCTGCTGCTGAAGTCCGAGCTGCTGCTCAGCGAGTCCCGGGCGGTGCCCGTGCGCTGGAACTTGGCAATGGCATCGCCGTTGTAGCTGTCATAGGACTCGGACTTGTGGCACAGTCGAATCTCTGAGAGGCCCACAGCCCCGATGGTCGACTCGCAGCTGTACACCTGACTAGCATCCACTATGGGAAAAGAGGGAGAGAGTTACGATTCATTTGGTGCACTTTTGGGCGCGGGAAGGCCACTTATTGGACCTTAGGACCTCACCTGGACTCCGGAACTCGTACTTGTTTAGATCCAGCTGCTTGTTGTCGCACACCAGCTCGAGGAGCTTGCGCAGCGGCACTCGTGCCCCCAGCCGGACCACATACAGCTGGTCCTTGGGGAGCAGCACAGTGATGCGGAAGGTCTGCTCGAAGGGCGCATTGCTGGTGACCGCCGGTATGGGGGTGATTCGATTGTACTCCAGCTGACTAGCCTCATTGATCTCCATCTCCTTGGACAGATGGTGCAGCTGTGTGCTGGACTTGGACAGGTTTCCAATCGATGCGCTGTTGTTGCTGCCCGATTTGTCTGTGGACATGGAATATTGGTTAAGGGAATCTCAATCCAAGGGGCTAGGGGGGTGCTTACCCTTTTTGCGGCCAAACCAGCGATTGAGTGTGGAGAAACCGCCCTTCATGTTGCTCATTCTTGTGCGGGGGCGTGGCGTAGATCCCTTTCTGTTGCCTCTTTGTGGGACTGCGATCCTTTTTCCACTGTGTTTCTTTCTCTTTTTCTTTCGTCTGTCGATTGCTTTCCTTTCGCTTTCTTTTGTACGTTGGATGGGTGGTGGGGGGAAGGTTTCGTAATATATTCCTAGAGCATACTAGAAAATGGCGTGCGATTTGTGCGCTGTGAAATCTGCAAGTGAAAAGCAAAGGCGAAAATTCAACAACTGCCTGATTACAAAACAATGAATGGCCCCACAAGCCCCGCAGACCCCGAAGACCCAAATGCCAAGACCAAGACGCCTTCGGGCCTCAGGCGCTTATCAACGCCGCCCGATAACGCAGGGCTGGGACTGTGGCACTGAGGCATGAGGGGGCTTGGGGTGGGAGCCTTCCTTATGGTTTCTTTAGTTTTTTGTTTATCAATGCGTCTCATGGCTAACGTACGCACGAACCCCCTCCCCTACCTACACACACATACACACCAAATAAGGCAATAGAAACTCACACTCGTAGTACCAGGAATACCCATTCGATGATCTATCCTAGAAGGTACGTGATAATCCTACGTGACAATTGATTGCATACACATATATATTATTTAGAGCAGATTGCTCGGAGATTTACAGCTGTTTGACAGCCCGATGGCAGAGAGATGCACAAGTCCGAGAGTGCAAAAAGAAGAAAACGAGTGCATGCCGTGTGTGCGAGCGAGACTGGAAGCGAAGTTCGGACCCGTGAATGCAATAGCGAAAAAACAAGCTACATGTCGTGTGCGTGTGCGTGTATTCGTCTTCGTCCCTTTTGACGGTAAGAATTTATTTCATTGGGATATTACGGGGTAGCCCCATGGTCGGGATATCCACAGACTTTTCATAGACTATTTGCTTTATCAATTTCAATTTCGTTTTATTTGTTTTCAGCGCCTGGCTTAGTGCTTAATTGTTCATCGGCCGGCTATATAATGGCTAACACTCACAAATATCTACATATATGCACACACACACGTAGACTTACGGCGGGGCGAGCGATAAGCTCTCAAGAAAAATCGAAATCGTCGACGCTACGCGACTTGCCAGCGGATCGGAGCGGAGTGTTCTCTGTCGCGTGCGTTTTTCATTTGCACACAATGCAAAACGCGAAGGCGACTTCGATGGGGAGGCCAACGAGGAGGAGGTGTGGGGCAGGGGAGTCGCTATTGTCTATTGTCTAATGACACAGTTAGGCAGAGAGTGCAACAGTGTGCGGCATGGCCATGCAAATTACCGGCAATTGCTGCTGCTGCAACAGCAAACGGCAAACAGAGACACACTATACATATTTGCATACTAATTTCGTGACTGCCCAAAGGACAGTGCGTGCCACAGATGTAGGGATACCAGTGGAATCCGATCCATCTTTTGTCTCAATACGAAAGATCATTTGTTGGTATTCGTTTAAGAAATACACCCCTGCATTCGATAGCATACTAATTTCTCTTTTTACGTATGTACATATTTTATTTCAGAGACATCAGTGCTCTTTAGAATACTTATTCTTTAAAATCATACTCTCACAGAAACATTGATAGCGCGTTGTGGTTCTTAGCTACATTGTAGTCATGAAACGCACTGTATGTCCATATGTTTAGGCACGTGCCCCGTCCCACCTTGAATCAAATCGATTTGTGTTTACTTTTTAATGAGCAGCCCCAACTAATTAGCCGCAACTATTAGTCCACCTAATTAGATTTACTCGCAGAACGCAACTGGGAGTCGTCTTGAGGAGTAAGTGCAGATATGGTACAGATATCGCTCTTTACTCGAGGTACATATGTACGTATGTACATATGTATATCCAGCACTCAGGGAAGATGGGGAACATACTGATGATGCGATGCTTCCTTTATGTGTAGCGTAAAGTTGTTGGAATGTTTTGTAAGAATTAATATCTTTTCCAATCATTCCTTACTCTAATTTAGCGTTGGGAATGACTTGAATCGCTTCCACATGACGGGGCACATGGCACAGTCGCCAAAGTGAAAACAACATACATGTCGTGCGTCGTGTGCATGACATGATATGATGCTGTTCGACGAGACAAGGTACTGCTTGAGGAATTACAAGCTCTATCTAAAATCAGAGCTATGGTGACTCTCTTTTTACATCTTTAACTTGAATCCCAACTTGTACTCGTGGGTATCCCCCAAATCGAACTAAACTGTGCTCTGTCTACGGTTTATCAATTTGCGCAAAACACTTTAACAGTCAGCCACTAAAATTCCCCTTGAAATAGCCGTGAGTAAGTAAAAATTCCTCGGCTATCGAGAGGCGACGCTGAAAAGGTTTCTTGCCTGAAATCATCACGTTCCATGAACATGGCTGCTTGTTGGTGTTGGCCAAAATAATGAGCTTGGCTAATAGCTAATCACCACACTCCACACACACAACAGCTGGGCCAAAATGTGTTTATTTTTAGGGCCTTTTGAACCCGGCTAATTGAAATAAAAATTTAATTGTCTTTGGATGTTTTTCGGGACGAACTTTGTTCCCATTTTATGAGATCGAGAGAGTCACAAGATATGTACGAGTACTATCTTACGAGTATGTGTATCTTAAATATCTGCCTTATCTTTAGTAGTATCTTTAGTAGACGCTCATTTATAGTCAGATGATTCCAGCCCAATCAGGTTGAATTTTTTTTGCCCATTCATGAGCCTCTTCCATCGTATCTATAGGCCATCAGATATACTATAGGTAGTAGGTATATAGATCTGCGATGACTATACTATATACCATATACATATGCTGCTATATAGGCCGCGATGAATCAGAGAAGTGTAAGCTGCAGCTGAACAATCAAGCGCACTCGTAAATGATTTGTCTTGCCTCGGACGAATCGGATCGCCGATTGTTAAGTAACTCTCTCGAGTGGGACACACTCTACGGTCTACTAGTATTGTAGCTCTGCTTATAAGTACATATGCTATCTAGTATAAGGTGTAACGTGTCTAATTGCTGCTCTAGGGGTCAGATCGATTCCTGTTTTTGTTTTTAATTGGCTCTAAGTGGGATTTCATTGTCAGCACGAGGCTTTAAAAGCATCCAAAAGGGATGGAATATCACTACAGAAAGTACAACGAAATATCTATATATATATATGGTATTTAAGATATTTTCTGGGTAAACTTTGATCAATCTCAAGACCTAAACAGATTAAGTCCAATCCTTGGGCTTGAGGCACTCTAATTTCTCTCTTAAATCTTAGTTTAAGATCTTAACTGCAGATCATGGAAAATGACAGCTCTATAAGAGCTTTCGAGTTGGATAACCTCCTCGGTTCTTATGACAGAGCCCAGCCGCCCCATGCCCATAATTGTATGTAGATTTTACGACATCTCCAAATATGTGGGAGTATATGAAGAAGACATGGATCAATGGGGAGCCCTAATGGTGACTGGCCGTTATTTGCACAATATATTGGCAACTTTCTACCGTTATGTGTGTGCCTAAATAATTGTGTGTACTGTGTGTGGATGGAAAGCATTTATAAGGTCTTGGAGCAGCGCAAATAAGGAAAATCAGAAGTGCAAACAGAAGAGCCCATTCGATGGATGGGCGATGATTAATGGCTAATGCTGATTCGGAATGTTGTGAGGGGTTCCGTTCAGTTCCATCATGGGATTATTTATAGGTATGTAGATGTTTCGCTTGGCTACTTGACGTATCGTATCGTTTTTATTGCGATTTTATTCGATGGGTGACACTGACATTGAAGTTTGGCATTGCATTCGGTCGCCGTAGCAGTCGCAGTCCAAGTCTCTGTCTCTGGCTGTGGCCCAGAGAGACTGAATCAAAGTTAGGCGATGATATCATGCTGGATAACCGACGTGAGGGAATTTTTTTCTTTTCTTGAAATTTTATTGGCGCTCATCATTGTTTCTTTATAATCATCATTCTGTGTCGTCGCTGCTGGCGAGCCGGCTCAACTAGTCAGCTATGCTAATTTCTTTGGCCAAATCGTAAATTGATAAACGACCAACGACTCATACACTTGCGGAAACACCAGTGGAATGACTTTCCTAAGTCCCCGTCCCCGTCCCCGTCTCCGCCCCAGTCCCAGTCCAGCGTCTTTGGTGTGTTTGCGATGGCTTCTGCTGCCTGACAACTTTATCTGGGAGTCACTAAGGTGGGTCGCCACGGCTGGGGGCGCTGGGGCCGCTGGGGCCAATGGCGGGCGGAGGGGCACTGCAGCAGTTACTATCAAGCGAGCGATACGCATGACTAATCCCAAATATGCTAAACACCGCCACATCTGCTGACAGTTTTTGGCTCCTTATCTAAAAAACATTCATACGTACATATTATACATGGGTATGTATTTAGTATTTCAATTGGTGCCGCAATTTGAGCCGCCACTTGATTAGACCGATGCAAAGCGTTAGCTGCACGGTCCACCATCCACGTAGCACGTACCGCCCCTGGGGCTATCATGGGTCGTACGATAACTAACAGCTGTCGAATACATGGCATCCAATAGGAGACGACTGTCAAAACTTCATTGAAACTTTGTACCGGGCGTCGTTGGTCTGACGTCTGTATTACTTTGGGATTGATTTGATTTGATATGGTGGGATGGTATGGGATGGGCCGATAATGGATGGGAGGCGCTCCAGGAGCACAGATGGGATGGGATCAGGAGTGGAATGGGTTCAGGTCTCAAGAACAAACGAAGATAAGAATCCAAGAACTTCTTCAGAATTGGATTACCCAAGAATAATGAAATTATAATTTCGCAGATAACGATACTCCCACAGCTGGGCAACAGAGTGCACTACCAAGAACTGTCACAGTCTAAGCCAATCGCGGGGCTACGTGACGCCAGGCCTAGTCCCATTTCGGGGGTAACACAGTTTTTTTTGTTGCATTTACTTGAAAATTCACCTGTTATTGAAGTTTTTTCTCCAGTGCACTTTCTTTGCAAGCTTTTGTTTTTTGTTGCCTTCTCCGCACACAGCTTTTGTTGTTGAACAAAACTGCACGTTGTTCATAAACAAAAAGTTAAGGCACTCACACTGGCACATACACACACACACACATACACACGCAGGTAAAATCGAGCAGCAGTAAAGCAAAAAAAATACACAAACTGTTTAGAACTGCGTACTAACTGCGATTAGCGGTGCTTTCTACTCTCGTTCTCGTTCTCTTTCTCTCCCCTTGGAGCACACTCTTTCTGTAGGAAGAGGGAGTGTAAGCGGAGCAACTTTTGCGAGGCGGCCAACGTTGGAAAAACAACTGAAAACAAAAAACGCGCAAATTATGCACAGAACACAACAGCAAAAGACACAGCTCACACAAACACACACACACGCGCACACTCTCTGACAGCCGACGGACACACGGACACACCACACAATAATAGTAGCAATAATAAAGCAACGGTAACTCTCTAATAATAGAGCCCCGCAGGCAAGAGTTGAGTGCGCGGTGCGCTCAGCTGTTGGCTCTCTCACGCGTCATTCGCGACACCACACCACACCACACTCACCTAGCCACTCCACTCTCTTGTTCTTTCACCTCCCTCTCTGCGTGCTTGAATGCCGCTGTCGCTGCCGCTGCCGCTGCTGCTGCTACTGCTACTGCCTCTCCTCTTTAATCTTATCAGCAGCGAAAAAGCAAGACAGAAGGAAGAGCAGCTTCGGGGCCGCAGCTTTTGATACCCTTCCAAGTCGATCGTTCTCCTTGACTGAGATATTTATTTTAATTTTTAAAGCACAGTTTCACAATTGTTCTCGAAATGTGTGTTGGAAGGGAATGGCATAAGAGGCAAACGACTGAAGCCCTTGTGATTTATGGTCACTCTGATCGTAGGAAGAAAAGCTATGTACCGATGTATCGATAGGTTTTGGAGGAAACAAAACACCACAAGCAGCCTTTTGCCAAGTTTTCGTATCGTTTTATTCGATAGAATATATAAAAATACTTTTAGTTTAAGTATTTTCCCACAAAAACTTGTTGTTCCTATGCAGTTGCATATTGATTTACTGACTACAGTAAATTTCCAGCCAGAAATAGTGTTTTTATTGAAATTGCATGCATGTATGTGTGTGTATCGTGTCGATTGCTGGAGCTTTCATCGCAGAGGCATTGTAAACAACTGGTCGAAACAATCACACCTTCTGAAAGGGTATACTGACAGCAGCCGCGAAGAGGAGAGCGGAGGTGAAAGGAAAACTGCATACTCCACGTACATGCACACTCTCTCCACACTGTCTCCCCGCAAATTACCATTTATCTGCAGAAACAGTTTTGTTATTAGAGCTCCCGCTCGCTGTCTCTGTCTCTCTATCCCTGGGGTCTATCTGCTTTATGCTTTATGGCGGTATCTTCACTTGTCGCGCGCGTTGGGAAAACTGAACTAAACTTCAGGCCAAGTGCGTTGCATAAGTCATATGATGACGCCGAAGACGGCGACGGCGACGTCAACGACGACGCTGGCAGCAACGTCAGCGCTGGCTGATGGCTGATGGCTGACGGCTGTCAAATTGCGCTAGCTTCTTTTCCATTCTGATTGACGATTTGACGACCTTCGTGAGGCGCCCCCAAATCCGCCTGCTATCTGCATCGGGTATTCGTCTTCCAGTGTGGGAGTCGCACTGCCACCTTCTTGTACTTCTTCTTCGATGGGGCTCCAGTCCAAAGTGCCACCGACGCGCTGGCCTCCCACTCCACGCACTCCCCGCAGGAGGAGTGCCCCGGCTAATGCGTGACCATTTTCAGCTTAGGAAGGAAGCCTCACCCAGACGCACACTTCCACTTGTGACATCATCATTATCCACGTATACTCTACCATCCACATCCATCGACCTGGCGCGGCCATCGACAGGTTGGGTAGACCATAAATGGCCATTCCGCCTGACTCTAGGGTGTGCCATCGCCCATCGCCCAGCGCCGTCGTCGTCGCTAAATTCTTTGATTTCTAATTATGTACAAATCTTGCGTGGTACGACTATTCCATCAAGAGAGCCGCATTTTGATGATTTATTCAGGCAGACAGCTCTAAAAGTGTTTCTAATTTGTTGTATTTATTATGTATGTAAATTTCGTAACAATCTATCGATCTGTTTAGGTAGAAAGAACTTGCCAAAAGGTTGTTTTTGAATTCAAACCATTTCGGTTATTTTTTGTTGATACAAATTTGAGGAACATACGGGATCGGGTTCAGTGTTGAAGCATTAAGCATCGATAGTCTAGTATCTAGGATCTCTGCTTGCGATCAACCCTAATCTCCGATCCGTTCTCCGATCGATAAAGTTCTCAACGAAACTTCCCAATCGTCCAGTGATTCTATATTCTATGACTCTGCGCCGTCATCGATCCGATGATGTCTGGGCCGTGTTTTCCTTTGGGCTTGTATCTAAATCACTTAAGGTTTGTTTAACGCACATTTAAGTGATTCGTTGTGGGGCAAATCGTTGGTGCTATATCAATGTATCAACGTGGTGTGTGCCATGTGTGTTTTGCAGTTTCCGCTTATCAAAAACCACTCGATAATGTACAGCAAAGGAATGCCAATAAATTCCCAGCGACTTACTGGGCTCTTTAGCTGGAACCCCTGCTGATAGTGGCTTTCGGCTGGGCTGGGCCACATGTCCGAGGGAGCCAGAGCACTTGGCCAGAATTTCGAGGGCGCCAGAGCGCCACAGAGCCAACCAATCACCCAAAACAGCCAACGAAAAACCCCACTTGACAGTCAGTTCTACATAGTGTGTTACTTGTACTTGTTGGGGCACGTTTCGGTGATAACCTCAACCTTAACACACAACTTGGGCAATTGATGTTTTCAGGTTCGGTCGTCTTGAAGGTTCCCTCCGGGGCCTCTGTCTCTCTCTGTCCCTCTCAGTGTCTGATTGGGGGCGGTGACGTTGCTATCACATTGTTGTTTTGTGTACTTAGTGTAGTTCATGCCACACTCAGTTGTAAGAGTGCGAATACCTCAACGAGTACGTACAGACTTATCAACATCGAGAGCTGTGTATCAACATTTCTCTGCTGCTTGCAGCGTAGAGTAGACCAGACCCTACCCCTGGTATTGGGACTGGTACTGGTACTTGGTGACCCCGTTTTCGGGGGAATTCTTGAGCTGTTTCTTTGCCGCTTTTTGCTTTGCCCCTCATTTTTTTGGCAAAAAGTGGCACAAACTCATTCCGAGCAAGAAGTGAAGAACGGAGAGACAGCCGCGACATAAACAAGTTTCGCGAGCGGCAAATTCGACAATGAAACCATATGATCAGCGTAATGATAGTTATGATGATCATTCAGCCTGATCTGGCTCTGGCTCTGGTTCTGGTTGTGGCCTCCCTGCCTGCCTGGCTCTCTGGCTCTCTGGCTCTCCGCCTCTGGATCGTTGGAGGCTGCTCGAAAATGAAACAAGAAATAGATTTAGAAATCCAGCTTCTCTCGGTTGCTTTTCGCTTTTCGCTTTTACGTTTCTGCCTTTTCACAAATATTTTGCGGCATGCCTCCTCGCCTGACATCCATTTGATGGCCTGGCCGCTCTTTCTTTGGAGCGGGAAATGCATTGCATAGCTGATCTACATGCCAGCACCGTTAGCCGTGGCCCTTTTTCTTTTCTTTTCTTTTCTTTTCTGTTTTGTTTCGTTTTTCTTTCTCTCTTTTTGCATGTCTCACTTTAATTAGACTTCAATCAATGCCAGAGGCAAACGTCAGCGCCCTAGTAGAAGACAACGACGACGACGACTGCAAATCTGACGTCAGTCATTAAGACCTGGCAGAAGTAGAAGCAGAAGCAGAAGCAGAGTGGAATGGATTGGAATGGGGTCAACTGCAGTGCCATCAGCCGTAGACCCCCGTCGCACAGTCACAGAATCCCCCCCTCTCCCACCCAACAATCTGTATCTCTGTATCTGTATGTTTGCATCTGAACCGAACTGACAGTTGCATGCGTTTGCTCGATGACTGCGTCGACTGCTCCAAAATGATTCGATTGCGGTTGCCATGGAAGTGCAGTCAGCTGTCTGAGCAATCCTCTGTCTATCAATCTTCGGCCTGGTCTAAAGATAAATACACACATACATATGTATCGAGTATCTGTACGAGTAAAGGTACAATGTAGTAATGTAATTCCTATGCAATACATCGATTGTGTAAGATGTAGGCGTTTCTATTCATACGTAATATTCAATTTTGTATTCATCTACTCGTAGATACTCCCTATCATTCGATCTATCATATATTCCAAGGTGGGATATCGATACAGCCTGTATCTATATCTGTATCCCACCTTGGACCCTGCTCTAAATACTAGTAACCTTTATTCGATATGGTTTGATGCATGTCTGGATTTGTTCTCTGAGAAGTGATTCTTACCCTATTTCCAGCTAAGAGAAGGTGTTTTTAATTTCTTAACGTTTTAATTTACAGCTGTCATACGGGTTTCAGTCATACGGGTGTTCTATGAGGTTTAGTTCCCTTGAACTTGAACTTGAGGACAGGAGGACTTGAGAGGACATGGAGCAAAGGATCGAGGGTATCGAAGAGGGAAGGTTGTGCCCTCGATCCTTTGCTTCCTGTCCTCTCCCCCAGATAGATATGTACCATATATCTCCATGTACCTATAGATATTTCTCTGTTTCTCGAACTCTGTCGACAGGTAGGTACATACATATGTCGGACAGTAGATACTCGCAAGTACTGTACTCTCCCTTGCCCCTAGATCTAGCTTTTTGTGGCTCTGGCCAGCTGCAAGTGTTTGGCATGTTGAATGCCTCAAATGCCGCCCAATAAATGTAGCCACAGCAACGGTCCAGGTCCAACCTGTCACAGTCAGCCAAGATCGGGTTTTTCTTTTATGATTTTTGTGTGTGTGTGTTTTTTTTTTTTGGGTGTTTGAGTGTTGCAACTGCAACAGCCACAGATACAGCCAGAGCCATAGTGCTTCACAGCCTCACATCCACATCCACATCCACATCCAATTGCCAGCCGAGTGCTGCTCATAATAATTTGTTGAAGTGCATTTTCCACATTGCAATGTTTGGCAGGGGGCAGAGGGGGCGGCACCAAGAGAAGATGCAGGTTTTTTATGCCCCACTCTATTGCTGACCAAACGGCAAACGACTGGATGTTGGTGCCTGGAAGAAAGTGAAGCGAAATCAAATGCAACTGCAGCTGCCACAACAGCAGCAGCAGCAGCAGCAGCAGCAGCAACTTTTGCTTCTCTCTGGATGGCTGGCTGGCTGGCTGGCTGGCTGGTGGATTGAGGCGGCTTTCTTACTTGGGTAATAACTGGCTTGCATTTCATTTGAAAGACGACGCTTAACGCGTTGCCATAATTGTAGTTGTAGCTGTGGCTGCAGCCCACAGATACGAGATACTCGTACAATTGTATCTGCCTCTGGGCTTGCCAAACAACCTTGACATGCAGCTAAACTAATGGCAGGAAATTGTCGACAAGTGCCGCGCAATCCCAATCCCAGGCCCCAACCCCAACCCAAGCCCAATCCCATCTCTAAGCCCAGTCCCATCCACTCATCCATTCCAATCTCTACTCGTAGAGACCCACACAGAGATGTGCCTCGACTTGGGGCCCGGTCTGGTCGCAGATTTTTAATTGCGCCTCGCATCCAACCGGTTGCTGCTGCTGGAACAATTGCCGACCCCTGCCCGATCCCCGATCCCCCATCCCAGCGCCAAATACATCTCTCTTTCTCTCTATCCATATCCTATCCGTATCTATATCTATGTGTACCTGTATCTGTATCTGTAACTGCAAGTATCTGCATCTGTTTGGCAGAGACTGAAAAATGCGGCTAACTTCATTTGGCCATTTGCACCGATGGATCATGCCACGGACAGCCGCCGAAAGAGCCAGGTACCGCTCTTGCAGCAGCATTGCACCGCTGCACCAGGGGCGGGGGGGTTGGGGCATTGAACCAGCCGCCGAGCAAATGTGGCTCACCTTGGCAGCACATATCTCCCTCTCCCTCTCTCCCTCTCCCTCTCTCTCTCTCTCTTTGTCTTTGTTTCTGGTTGTGTTTGGGTGTGTGGGTGGGGCTGCGGCTGGGGCTGGGGCTGGGCAAATGTTTATCAATGAAATTGGACAGCTGAATGGGTAACTGGGTGGCCAGGTGGACGCTGGACACTTGGACACCAATTAGTGGGTGACCAGAGTCTGAAAATGTACGAGTGCACCCATAGGAAGGTCTTCTAAGTATCCCTTCTGTTTCGAGTGGATTCGAATGGGTTCCAAAGCAATTCGAATGATTCAAATATATGATTCTCTTTCATTTTTCTTTGAGTGTACAGCA